CACAAGCCTTTACACATCCTATATGACATTTTCTCACAGAGAAGCTCCAACCATAGAACTTCCTTTCTGCTTTTCCATTTACTATCAATTTCCACTAGCTTCTTATTCCTAAGCTTCTCTTTTCGCCTGTTCTACTACTTCACGCACACTTGCAACCATTTCTCATTGTGAAGGACAAGAACTACATGTCTCCTCAAGATGGCCCTGATTATTCAAACTATAAAATGACTAAACTCCATAAGATGAGTTGAACAGTATTTTCTATGATAACTGAGAAAATCAAATCAGAAAATTCATTCTCAAAAAGAAAAATCAGAAAAGAAAATAAAGAAGTAATAAAATGAACAATTAAAACACCTTGCTGAACAATAGTGTAATATGTATCTTCAAACTTCAGTTTAACCGCTAGCATCTCATTCCTTTCAAGTTACGTGCATACAACAAACAAATGTAGCTAGAAATCCACATTATCCAGCTAAAATGATACATTACTTGATGTAGGTGATATTCGCTAAATTACACAGGTGAGCATACAAGCAAGCAGCCAACAAGTTAATTACTCAAAGACTTACAAGGATCTTTCTTATTGGAGAATTCCTTGCAACTTCTATCCTTCCCATCATTTTCTGAATTTGGGATTGAAGCTTGTGTCACTCGGGTATTATGAATGAAACAATCATCAGGTGACTGTTGAGGGGGAGCTTGTCTTCCACTAAAGACGCCCCATAGATATAATTTACCCTCAAATCCTGCAATTTTAGTGTGGTTAGTACGAACATGTGAAGAAGCTTGTCTATTCAAGACTTTGGGATGGTAAGAATTACTGTGATGCTTTTCTGGCAGATGGGCAGAGGTAAAAATCAGGAGTTCAGAATCACCAACCAACGCTTTTAATGCAATGTCGTAGTGTCTTAAATTATACAGCAGATTTTCAAAAACTTGATCATCTCTGAGACAACCATACCAAGATTAGAGGTGGTATATAACAGTAGATGCAAATATTTATGCTAGGTTGGTTACCATACCTGCCTTTAACTGAAAAGAAATAAATGGCAATATTATCATCAATCAGTTTAGAACTTTTAAAACTCTTTGGCCACACATCACGCTTAGGAAGGAATTCAGGATAGATCACCTCCGCCATCTCTTTAGCTGCCAGCCATACTTTGGCGCACGCTTTACTTGATAGATGGGCTATAAGATTCAATCTCATCTCCGGACGGGAGATCATGAAACTACCCCTGTGAAATGAGAATAACCAGATTTCATACTAGAACTGAATAAGATCCAGTTGCAGCTTTCATCAATGCCTCCTCCAGAAGAGGTAAGAGGTAATATGGAAAAAGAATAATTAAGTAGTAATAGATTTTCAATGTACCTCCATATGGTATCAGCAATTGGTTTAGCAGCCATGTCACAATTGTGAGCTGAAAGCACTAGCCTATACCAAGTAAACTGCCTTCCTTTCAATCTGTAAGATCGTCTTTTCTCACTTCAACAAGCTTCCGTCAGACGTCAACCATCTGTACTTACACCCAAAAATGAAAAAGGTCATCTCCCCATACTCTACAATTCCGTTTGTGATTGTTAATAAGAATTAAGCTTCAATTAATCAACTACTTAACCAAACTCAAGCCAGGAGAGGTAATCTCAGTTACCATAGCAAACAAAACTCTTTAATTTTTCTTACAAAGTAACCACAAAACTATGTCATCAGTCATACTGTCATGTTTGCTTTCTAAACATGTCTACTTTATTTATATGGCAAGTAAAAATAAAAGAGACACAGAGTAGCACTAAGATTGCAACTTCAAGATCAGCTTCAACAAAAAGCTGCTGTTCGTCGCGGAAAAAAAGCCTTTCCCCATTTAGTTTTTAAATTTGACTAATTTCAAATTGGTCTCTGCTTACACAGCTGAAAATAAAAAAGATAATTTTTTTCTTTTCCTTTTCAAAGATCAAAAGACGAAACTTTCTCCAAAAACCCAACAAAATTGATGTTTTAAGGCTCAAAAACTTAAAGAACCCAATCTGTTGAGTCAAAGATAAGCAAAAAGAAGACCTAATAAGCACATCAACTATCCTCTCCCAGATTAAAGTGAGAGATCAAAATCCAGCATTCTTGAACTGTAAAGCCGATCTCAGTAACCCCCACCCCCATCACCCAAAAAGTTGAAAAAAAGCAATCTTTAATCAAGATGGGTTATCCCCAAATTGCACCACTTTGCAAACTAAACACAACCCATGATCAATACATGAACTTGAGAAACAAACACAGGTAGTATCAAACTTATAAGTAGTATTAACAAGAAGATAATTTTTTCACCTGAATCTGCAGAGTTAAAGGAAGAAGTAGTGATGAGCTGAGAAAATGGATGATTTTAGAGAAGTTGAAGAGTTATAGGGTTTCTGAGAAATCATTGCATAAAAAGGGAAAAGGGGTTTCGGTCATCGGTATACACCAAATTTCCCATATACACCGCTAGTGGCGAAGAAGGCCCTTTTTTTTCTCTTTTTTTTTTACATTATTTATTCCAACTTTTTTTAAAAATTAATGTATCTCCTCTTTTTTTACGGGGAAGCAGATAGTGACTGAGCTAGAATTTTCATTAAAATGGATTAAAGTATGAAAAAATAAATGTATGAAGAAATATCATGTTTGTTAGTTGGTTGTTTGGTTAGGAAGGTAAGCTATTAGTTAAAAAACTATTATGGTGTTTGATTTGTAATTTAGAAAATTGGATAATTAAAAACTAATATACGTATAAGTTTTAAAAAAATATGTATTATCTTATGTAAAATAGGTGTAATAATTATTATGTGAATAACTAATATATGCATAAAATAATACATAATTTTTTTTATATGGTCGCTTCGTAGATGTTAGAGTTATGTAGATATCAATAATAGATGAATTAGTTATGAAATTTTTTAGGTATTGTTTCATGAAGGGATTAGTTATACCAAGTATTACTAATCCACCCTTTTATCCTGCATAAATTAGATACATAGTTTTTAAATTGCAAATCAAATATCATATTATACATGAATAACGTACCTCTTAATCAACTATCAAACATAGTATTACTTGTGCAGGAGTTAATACATGCATAACTCATATTCAAACTAACTACCAAACGATCTTTAATTCCTTTATTACTATTACATACATAACTCTAGTCGACTAGCAAACCATTTCTAGTTTATAAAGCTAGAAATCATATTAATAAGCTTTGAGTCAATCCTCTAGTTCTCTCACTCAAATACCCACATGTATGTAATATATATATATATATATATAAGTGAAGGTGTTTGGTTAGATTGTTAGACATAAAGTTTGAGAATAAATCGAAGACTTTAAAAATATATGGTCTAAACTCAACAATAAATATTGGTGTGTCTATTAATCATGTAAAATATGAATTTTAAAGTCAAATTATTAGTAGAAATAGAAAAAATATGTCGTTCTTATGACAAACTAAAAATAAAAAAAATATCACATAAATTAAGACAGAAAAAATATATCAGCTCACTAAATCATTAAATATAAATAATCAGCATAAAATTTAAGATTATCTTTTATTTCACATGAATATTAAGTAGGTAAATGCTTGCTCTTATTGGATGTTGACTGATTTAATAAGGAAATATATGCTAATTAATCACGATTAAATGTTAAAAGTCTACATATACATATATATCTATTAAGTTGATATAAATATTAGGTTTGGAATAAATTCTTACTCTATTAGGTGCATAACAAGGTAAAGTTTCTTATTAAATGGAAATTAAACTTTTTGTTCCACTAGTTTATACTTGAACTAATTGATTTAATGTCTCGCTAGAATGGTTGTATAATGAATTATTAATAGTTAACAATAAAAAATACATCTAAATTATATTTTGATCCTTTAAATATAATCTTGAGCATCATCAATATCTTAAATTTGCTAAAGTGGAGCACATTTAATCCAACTTATCTATTGGACTATAAAACTAAGGTGAAATACAAAAAAAGAAAAAAAAAAAAAGAAGACAAAAAATTGATTTGATGCACTTGAGTCGTGGTCTTTTGAAAACAATCTCTCTACTTCTATAAAATAGGTGTAAGGTTTGCGTATATTCGATCCTCTTCAGACTCACTTGTGGGATTAAATGGGTATATCGCCCCAATAAAAAAATATTCTTATGGTAGGCCTTGTCCCTAGTAAAAAATATGGTGAAATAACCTTCCCTATTCTTTCCCCGAACCCTGCTACTAAGAAGGATGTTCACTTCTAAAATATCCTATATACGTAGGCGGGAATAGGGGAAGGGGTCAGATTTATTCCGACGGCAACATGAGTAACAATGCAACTGTTTATAATGCTACAGCAGCAGGTATAATAAGCAAAATCATACGAAAAGAAAAAGGGGATATGAGATACCCACCCCGGTTACAGCATTCCTTTCTATTGCGCCTAAAATCTCTATTTCTGCTAATATTTCATGTGTTTCTATTTATGGTTCTTATGGATCTACATTGCAACAAATCTTTTTTTTCTGCAGCATTGCTTCTATGATCTTAGAGTTGAATTCAAAGTTACAGCCTTTAGTAGATAAGCCGGAGTTAACTCATGATAACTCTTAGCCCTTACTTCCGATGAATGAGAAGTCTAGATAGGCAGTGGAAACCCTGGGAAGTAAGGAAGTTCAAGTTAGAGGGCATATGAATATGAAATAGCATATGATGAGATTTAACCATAATGGATGTGTCGGAGGGATTGTTGTTGTATGAGCTTGCTGAAATCTTTAGGAGTACCTATTGTATAGGCCTATAAGGTACAATATGTTGATCTAACTTTAAGAAGAGGAAAATAAGTGTTGCAAACATAAGTAAAAATCAGACATTTCAATGTAGTAAGTATTGACATAAATGTTGAATAGCACAAAAAATGAAACAATCCTTGTGACTTAAACACAGTTCAGCAGGTGTACAAACAACAATTCAGCTGCTAAAAGCTAGTTCTTGCTAAAATGAGTTCTAGGAGTGGACCATGGTGTATCCTCCATTCTTGCAGCCCAATTCATGATTTCTTCACAGCTCTCTGGTAAAACAGATTGAATTCTCACAGTGGGCTTCATTGGAGGTAAAATGAGAAGTGGAGCTTCATCTTTAAGCATACGGAAAACATCTCTCATTCGCGGTCTCTTCTCATGATCGGGATGCACACAAGAAAGTCCCACGATGAGCATTCTATCCATCTCGTTCTTCTGAAACCGCCCCATTAGTTTAGGATCAGCAGCCTCAGTTATCCTCCCTTTCTCCCACAAGTCCCACACCCAATCAGTAATCAAACCACCACCTTCGTCGATAGGCTTTCTACCTGATGCCACTTCCAGTACCACAACACCAAAGCTATACACATCTGTTTTAACAGTTGGAATACCAGTATAGACATACTCAGGTGCAAAATATCCCATTGTTCCAGCTGGTACAGTAGCATCCCTTGTCTTAGAATTATCAAACACCTCTGCTAAACCGAAATCTCCAAGCTTGGCATTGAACTCAGCATCAAGCATTATATTGCAACTCTTCACATCTCTGTGGATTATATGATTCTCACACTCTTCATGAAGATACATAAGAGCAGATGACACACCAATAACTATGTTCAATCTTCTCTCCCATGTCAGAAACTTAGTCAAATGCGATCGCTCGTGGAGGATTTTGTCAAGGCTACCATTAGGCATGAATTCATACACTAGCACCAATTCATTCCTCTCACAACACCACCCTTGAAGCTGAATCAAATTCTTGTGTCTTAAACAGCCAACCATAGAAGCAAATTCAGTATTAAAAGGAATATGTGAAGGACCCAATCTACTCCCTTGGCCAAATCTCTTAACAGCCACAGATCCCCTAGAAGGAATTTCCCCTTCATACACAACAGCAGATGCTCCTTCTCCGATTATCCTTTCATGATTAAAACATTCTGTAGCTGATTTTATTTCAGATAATGACAATCTTTGAGGCACTCTATTTCCTTGTAATCTACACATTTGCCGTTCATTGGTCTCCCCTACTCTATCGCGTTTTTTCCTTCTCAACGCAAGAACAAACACAACAGACAAAGCACAACCAACAAGTGTGACAATTGCAGCTAACCCTCCATAAGTCAATTTCAGTAAACTTTTACTACCACTACTACTACTACTATGATGAGAATCAGAAATATGCCCACCAATTTCCTCCTCAGGGAAACACATCAAACAGTTTCCTTCATCGGATTGATCCCAAGACGATGATATTGGAGATGAAATCAATCCAAACGTTCTAAATCTCCAACGACTAATGCTATAAACTGCAGACCCTTTAGCAGTGAAACCAATCCTCATAAACTCCTTCAACTGATTGGAAACATCAATTCTGGTAGAAAGAACAGGATTAGGAGGCCTAATTTGCAGTTCATACCCAATCCAAACTCTGATCATTTTCTCTGAATCTTTATACTCAATCCGACCCGCCATTTCTTTCCCACTTTTCAAATCAATCCCAGCTGAATCAACATTAGTAGAAGCCAAAGACCTAATTTCTTTAGTATCAACACCAATACGGTTATCATTGGCATTGAATTCCACAGCCAAGAACGAATCTTCCGAGTCGGGATTCGGAAGACCCATATACCCATCAGAGATGCTCAAAGAATCAACATCAGAAGTGACCAAAAACGCCATGCCATCACCAAAAGGGCAAGAAGGGGTTGGAAGTATAGTAAAAGAGAAAGTACACAAGAAAGAAGCAGTTTTATTGGTTAAGGAATCAAGAAAACGAACTGGGTATGTGTAGAAAGCTCTTCCAATGCCAGAAATGGGAGGTGTTGATGATGATGATGAACAGTTGCGCTCTTGGGTGAGGGTGATTGATTTTGCGGTGAATGAAGCATCGCCATAAAGAGTTACATTGTTTATAGGCAAGAAAGGAGCTGAAAGGGAAGGTGAGTTTATGGTGAAGATGAAGAACAGAGTGACCCTTATGAGATTTTGCAAACAAAAACGCATCTTGATGATGAATTCTGAATATTTTCTGAATTTGATTTCTGGGTTTTTGCAGAGATTGGTTGGATTTTCGGTTACTGGTTGGATTTTTGGTGAGTTTTTGCAGAATTGCAGAAGCAGAGAGCTTTGCAGTTTGCATCAATTGAGCGGGAGACGATAGATAGAGCGGTTAGTATAGTTACTTGGGTTAGTAATTCGGGTCGGGTTGAGATTGTTAGAGTGGCTGGGCTTTAAATATCTTTTGGTTACTTATTTAATTGCTGACTGTTCGATTAGAAAAAATTGGGAAAATTGTCTTCGAATCATCTATTAACAAAATGCGTACACTGAAGGATACATTTACATAAGTTTCCCTTGAAAACCACTTTCACAATCTTATGTATTACATATATATATGTGGGTATACTCTTTTGTGAAAGATGTGTTTGGATCAAATGTTACTATGACTAAGATTTTTCCAATTAAAGTACCATGAAAAAACAGAGAAAAAGAAGAGTTCACGTATCAAATTTTTATACAAGAAATTTGGAATGCAACTTCGTACAGGAAAAATCGTAACAATGTAAAGCAATTGAATTGGAATTTCACCATCTACATGCAACAACTCAACCAAAAAATATCGCGATTCAAATTTCAGTATCATAAGTTTGGAAATCAACTTATGAACTGTGTAAAAAGTTCAAATGATGCATCTGATTCCACGAGGTATACACTAGTGAAGCCAAAACCACTCCAAGAAAGTCATTGTTGAATTGACAGAAGAAGGTAGCTGCTGGTAAGAGCATCACTTGTTCAGATGTGATACACAAATTCTTCATTGATGAAACTGCAAAACATATTGAAAATGTTGGTATTTTGGAGTACCAAACAAGCCTTTCTTGACTTAAATACAATCAGCGTGGAAGCTTTTCTAAAGAAGAAAATTTTCAAAAGCTGTGTAGTCTCTATCTCTAAGGAGGGAGCACAAATATGAGCTCGTACCTAGGAAAAGATAATATAATTATTTATTGTATACTATTCATTGACATAAAATGACCAAGTCTCTGAACTAGTTACAGGAATTACAAGGTAGGATTCTTGCTGCCGATGACAGGCATGGTTAACTGAAGAGAGAAGTCCCGAACAGGGCTACTGCTTCATTTGAGGCATCTACAAAAGAAAGAAAAAAAGGTCAACGGATCAGCAGACGAGAGTAGAAGAACCAGCCAACTTAAACATACTGTACAACTGGTTAAAATAATTGCATATCTCAATAGAAGGCATAGCTACAAAGAAAGGAGCTTCTTTCTTTTCTGCCAATTAAAAAGTACTTAACAGTTAACACACGTAATCATCACAGATGTGCATTGCCTTTTAGAGATCAAAGTTCAAATAATGGCTCGGAAAAACAGAAGACACAGAGTATTAAGAGCTTTTATGGGTTTAAGATGCAACTCTTCACATTATTTGGCTGAACAATCCATTGAGACTTCTTTCATTATAGCATGATTGATACTCAAACTCGACAACTAGTATTTCTAACTATTAAGGCTATCTAGACGAGGAGAAGAAGGCTCAATTAAAAGGAAGTGGCTTCGCAGGACAATAATCTTTCAGTGTCATACACAAAATATGTTCCTATCCAAGTTTGCCCAATTCTCTTGGCTTAGTATCACCACAAGGTAGAATATAAAACTTCTCTTCAGAATCAATATGGTGTAACGCTTGATTTAATTTGACATAAAATCTCAAAGCCAAGGGCGGAGCTAGGTAGGGCCAAGGGGACCGAAACCCCTTCAACAGAAAATTACACTGTTTGTATATGGTTAGTTAATTCCCTTATTTATTTAATGTATATATATAGCAAATGTTGAAACCCCTTTGACTTCTTCGTGTGCATTCTTCTTCATATTTTGAACCCCCTCAGTGAAATAAATAGATCAAAACAAAAATTGTATGCTGGCAAAAACAAAAGCGGCAGAAGCTCCAAGAAAAGGAAATAAACTGAAAAGAAAACTAATAAAACTCTAGAGTTAATGGCTATTTGGCCTATTTGGTACTACAATACTCAGCTGCTAAAAACCTGAAGAAACTGTATGTCTATATCCCAACAGAAACTCTTTTACCTATTTATTTATAACAAGATGTGATCTTTGAAAATCTGCTTAATGCATAAAACAAGGTGTAAATATCGTTTGTGAAAAGCCACAACTACCAATTATTTCATCCATTTATCAAATCCTCTAAGTCACTTACATATTTTTAAAATTGAAGACTTAAGAACATTAGTACTTGGAATTGTTAAGTCAAAAAAGTAAACTAATCTTTCAGCCTAGAGCACAACCTTGTAAGGGGGAAAGCATGCATCTAAAATGTACAACATAGATGACTGTCAAAGTATTTTGATCATTTTTGTCTGAAGTTGATATAAGATTTTCTTTTTGAACTTGGTAACTTTGAAGTTGATTTAAGAAATTTGGACATAAATTTCAGTTAAACTAATTTCTCTTGAATAAAAGCTCCCGTGATTATTAGTTTTGATTGAGAAGCATATGTCATAACTCACAAGATGGTTGCAGTAGGCTTCAGCAGTAAAAAACAAAAGGAAACATAAAGAAGTTTATAGGCCCCAGGTACCTGAAACATATCTTTCCATGGTTATTTGCTGATAACCATTGCCTAGTATGCTGTGATCCTTTCAGTTATTTGAGCAGTGTTTTTTTGAATAAGAGTTATTTGATCAGTATATTAACTGAAAAATGACTATATGCCCTAGGGGACATTTCTGCAGTTACTACCTGTATGAACTATAATGCTAACATAATAATTACATTTAGTGGTATTTAACTGATATATAGAGTTAATCACGCTAAATCCACCCCCCACTCCCTCCTTTCTAAAACAGAAACTGGTATCGAGATGATCAATGGTAAAAATACACACTACCAATAGGTGATATCAGATCACAGACCCAATCAACTTCAATGTCAAGGAACATAGTGTTCTAAACTTCTAATACAAGTTTATGACTCAATATCAAAATTGGGCCAGTCATGTAACACTTAGCAAAAAGCTGTGGATGCAGTATCTCACAACTGGGTTAAGCCATTAATGACCTGTTTGGTTTACAACAATGAACAAAGATTCCGGTATTCAACCCTTGACAATTTGAAGAAATGTTGGCTACCCCATTCCCATTTCTCAGAAAATGCACTCCAAAGTTGAGAATTATGAGAGCATGCAATCCACATTATTATGTTCTCCTGACAGTCTCAGGGACCAAATTGGTTAAGCCATTAATGACCTGTTTGGTTTACAACAATGAACAAAGATTCCGGTATTCAACCCTTGACAATTTGAAGAAATGTTGGCTACCCCATTCCCATTTCTCAGAAAATGCACTCCAAAGTTGAGAAATATGAGAGCATGCAATCCACATTATTATGTTCTCCTGACAGTCTCAGGGACCAAATTGAATTGCCAAGTGGCCCAGGTCTAACTGTTAAATGAAATAAAACACAAATCCAGCAAATATATGCAGAATTCCAAGAACAAATGCGCAAAGATGCACTTTTGCATCTTTTTGAATCAGTAAGACAAATTTTATTCAAAAGACAGCACTAAGGTGAAGATGTAGTACGCCAACCAGAAAATGATGTGCTTCCACAATCCACATAATAAAATGTAAGGTAATTTGAGATTGTCTAGATGTCTAAAATGAAAGTCCCCGGGGGAGAGGGGAGGGGGATCAATGGTTAAAGAGAGAACGAACCATGTTAGATGGGAAAAGGTAGCATCTGATACCCTCGTAATCTAGTTCAAGGATTGATGCATGAGTGTTAATGTAAGGTTATGCTTCATTTCGATATTCTTATCATGGAACTAGTCATTTGATTATAATTTTTATGTCAACGAGCATCAAGGTACCTCTTTCAAGAGACATAATCTTATTTTGTTTTATATGTCCAAGTTATCATGATTCACAACTTATCATAACACTTCATCGGAAAAAATCATAACCAATAATAAGTTTGAATAGTAGAACGTAAGAGTTAATTTGTTGCAACATTTATTTTGTGGAGCTAGTGAGATTTTGGTTTGTTAGTTGCTTGAAACATTATATGTCTAGTTCCTATTCAGTCGTGGAGTTAAAGGTTAAATGTAGCTGAGAGTTAGGCCGGTGTTAAGAAGCTAAGTTGCTCGGACTCGGGTGCGGGTGTCCGATACGGGTGCGGATCTAGAGGTCGGATCCTTCATGATCTAATTTTTAAGATTCGGGGATATGGATCCATGTATGGATACGGGTGTGGGGATTCACCTAAAATAATTAAAATATCTAAAAATAGAGTTATAAAACTAAATTATGAGATATTATAGGGAGAACTTGAGGAGAATCTTGGAAGGAGATTAAAGGCAAAGAGTGACATAGAAATTTCTATATAAAAGGTATTCCATTTTCTTCAATTTCACCTTGGCTTTTGTATTGACTAATAGGAATCATTAAAATTGTCCAGACTTTCCCCATCGATTTTGGTCAAAGTACCCAAAATCCGCCGACCAAATAGGACACGGATTCCACACCCACACCCATGTCGTATCAACACGGGTGCGGCACCAAAAGTGAAGAGTCCGAGCAACTTAGTTAAGAAGAGCTTGAAAATGTTATGTATTGAAATTCTAGACAGAGGCAGAAAATGAGAAAAGTAAGTGATTTCTTCTCATTTGCCTAATCCTTGGCGGACAAAGTAACAACGTACCTGCACCGGTGGGAAGATGCAGATATCCAGTGTAATAGACAGAAAGCTTAGGATCATTCAGTATGACATTTAAAAATCTTGAGATAGCGAGTTTCAGATGTTTAGGAGTATACTAGGTGCCTATTGACCTTGTTAACGAATAATAGGTTTTTGACTTGGGATTGATATTGTTTTAAGATAACTATAATCTAAGCCAGTGATTTTGTTGTGAAAAAGGGCACCTGGTGGCACAGGCAAAGGGTCAAATGATCCTCCCAGGAGATCAGAGTTTAATTCCAACACAGAGTACAATCTAAAGCCAGTGATTTTTACTTAGTAAAAGGACCTTGGCAGTTTATGTACAAACTATTTTAGCTTTAGTTAATGTGATCTAACTTGAGATGAAGGTCTTTTGGAAATAGTCTCGCGGTAGTGGTAAGGTCCGCATACACTCTATCCTCCCCAGACCCCACTTTGTGGGATTTCACTAGGTTTGTTGTTGTTGAATATGCTAATAGAGGCTTTCTGATCCCTAAAGGTCGGGAAATTACAACCTTCATTCCGTAAAACCTCTCAGCCACAGCTTTTCTTGAGCAATTTTCAACATATCATTTATCCCAAGATTTGAAGGCATAGTTACCCAGTACCTGTGCTGGTGTGAGGCAGCAAGTACCCGATGAAATCGTTGAGGTGCACGTAAGCTGGCCCAAACACTACCATCATTAAAAAAAAAAAAAAAAGTACAACCCTAAGCTAAGAAAACCAAATTATATGCAAGCAGAAGATTCTGGAAAGTAATATATAACGTGGAGGAGGATCCCCTGAATAACATACTTAAATGGATTTCAAGACATTTTCTCAGCTGGCATTAGCAGTTCCCTTTTTCCCCCTTTTTTTCCTATTGATCAGCTATTAACACGTTCATTAGATGGTTGCTTAAAGGGATGCTCAGTACGCTGCTTTTGGAGGAATTTTGTGCATTCCATGTCATGATTGAAGATGCTGTATGATATGCAGGATAAATCCAGCACAGTGACAGCCTAATAACAAAGTTAAAAAGGAGATCTTCTAAGGGACTGGTGATGATCCGAAAAAGACAACTTTCAAATGTCATTCAGGCGACTTGACTACACTATAAAACTATTATCTGCATCAGACATAGCAGAGTAGGGCAATAGAGTATGTAAAGACGATTAAGCATAATACTACTTCGGCCACAAAGGTTGTGAGAAATATAGGAAAAGAATATTATAGAATTGTTGTTGTTTCTACATTATTACATTGAGACCTTATTTATAGACCCTAGAATACAATCCTTTACCAAGTAGGATACTATTTAGTATTCCTATTTCTATTTCTATTCCTATTCCTATTCTAATAGGATTGTATAAACCTATTCCTATTCTTATAGGATTATATAAACCTATTCCTATTCTTATAGGATTGTATAAACCTATTCCTATTCTAATAGGATTGTTTCTATAAACCTATTCATATTCTAACACTCCCCCTCAAGCTAGTGCATACAATTCATGTACCTAGCTTGTTACAAATGTAATTAACACGAGGACCGATGAGGGGCTTGGTGAGACATCTGCGAGTTGATCACTCGACTTCACAAAATTGACAATAAATTTCAATGTGCTTGATCTTCTTATGAAATACTGAATTTGATGCATAATGCCGATAAAACACAGAGTGATAAAATTACAGTGTTGGAACTTCCCAAACCAAGCTTGCAAAAACTGTTTCAGACCATAAAGTGACTTATGTAATCAACATACAAGGCTACTAAACTCCCCCTGAGCAACAAAATTAGGTGGTTGCTCCATATAGACTTCTTCACAATGCAGCGAACATTGTAAGTGCTCAAAATCTAGTATAAAGTACATGGTTCATGTTGGAATCAATAGACAGTCGATATTAAACAAGTCACCGAAAAACTGCCCGAAACATGCTCATATGCCGGAGTATTAGATTTGATGGGTAAAAGTGGTCACAATCTAAGAAATAAAATTATATGGGTAGGGTTGGAATGATGTCACGACCCAACTAGAAAATAGAAATTATATAGGATAGTTCGAATTGATGGAACGACCCCATTGAAAAAGAGAAATAATATGGGTAGGGTCGGAATGATGGCACGACCTTACTGAAAAAGAAAAATAATATGGGTAGGGTCAGAATGATGGCACGACCCTACTGAAAAAGAAAAATTATACGGGTAGGGTTGGAATGATGGCACAACCCTATGCAAATCAGATTTAAGGAGTCACCGGAAAGACGAATGAAACTATGCAAATCAAATCTGAGGAGTCACTGAAAAGACACATGATGCTATGCTACTCAGATATGAGAAATAGTTCGGAAAAATCCACGGTACTACACAAATTAAATATGAAAAGTAGTCCGGAGAGATGCACGGTGCTATGCAAATCAGATATGCAAAAAAAGGTAGTCACCGGAAAGATGGCACGGTGCTACACAAATTATATATGAAAAAGGAGTCACTGGAATGATGGCACAGTGCTACACAAATTAGATATGAAAAAGTAGTCACCAGAATGATGGCACGGTGCTGCACAAATTAAATATGAAAAAGCAGTCACCGGAATGATGGCACGGTGCTACACAAATTAGATATAAGAAAGTAGTCACTAGAATGATGCATGGTGACCCAACTTTTGCTAACATAATCATTGGCCAGACGGGTAACATATATGGGTGCCACCCGCCGGCAGCGGAAGCTCTTTAATTCTCTACCAAGTTCGTAGAGGCTCTGATACCATGTGAGAAATATAGGAAAAGAATATTATTGAATTGTTGTTGTTTCTACATTATTACATTGAGACCTTATTTATAGACCCTAGAATACAATCCTTTACCAAGTAGGATACTATTTAGTATTCCTATTTCTATTTCTATTCCTATTCCTATTCTAATAGGATTGTATAAACCTATTCCTATTCTTATAGGATTATATAAACCTATTCCTATTCTTATAGGATTGTATAAACCTATTCCTATTCTAATAGGATTGTATAAACCTATTCATATTCTAACAAAGGTCAACCGGGATGACAATCCTCCTAGACAGGACTTAGCTACAACAACTCACCAGAAAACACTGTCACATCAACAGTGGGGCCACTTTGTGTTCCACTCAATAAAAAGAAAGCAAAGAAATAAAAAAGAAAAAACTGCAACCTGAGAAATTCTCATTTCTTATGAAGAAGTATGAGACACAATCATTCTATCAACTAGCAAACCAACCAATAGTGTCCGTATCCATATTTACATCGTGTTACCCTGCTGCTATCGAGTTAATGCGAGGCTGGAGGTGTGGAGACAAACGCTGGAGTCCAAAGGGTTCAGGTTGAGTAGGACCAAAACGGAATATTTGGGGTGCAAATTCAGTGATGCGTTGGATGAGGCAGATGGGGAAGTGAGACTTGACACACAGATCATTCCTAAGAAAGAAAGTTTTAAGTATCTTGGGGCTGTAATCCAAGGAAGTGGTGACATTGACGATGATGTCACACATCGCATAGGGGCTGCTTGGATGAAATGGAGGCTTGCTTCTGGAGTCTTGTGTGATAATAAAGTTCCACCTAAACTTAAAGGTAAGTTCTACAGAGTGGTAGTTAGACCGGCCTTGTTGTATGGAGCGGAGTGTTGGCTAGTCAAGAACTCACATGTTCAAAAAATGCATGTTGCGGAGATGAGGATGTTGAGATGGATGTGTGGACACACTAGGAGCGATAAGATTAGGAATGAGGTTATCCGGGAGAAGGTGGGAGTGGCCCCTGTGGTGGACAAGCTGAGGGAAGCGAGACTGAGATGGTTTGGGCATGTGAAGAGGCGTTGCGCAGACGCCCCAGTGAGGAGGTGCGATGGGCTGGTGGTAGAGAGTACACGGAGGGGTAGAGGTAGGCCTAGGAAGTATTGGGGAGAGGTGATTAGACAGGACTTGGCTCAGCTTCACATCACCGAGGACATGACTCTAGATAGGAAGGAGTGGAGGTCACGTATTAAGGTTGAAGGTTAGTAGGGTTAGCATGTTGTCTTTCCTTGAGAGGGTATGGGTTGGTAGTGTTTGTAGTAGTCCTAGCCTGGCACTTGTAGTTCTTGTCTGTGATCCTATAGTCATATGTTGTTTACTGCGCTTCGCCTCTCACAGTATTTTCTTGATGTTATTGTCTCCGTTGTTGATTATGCACTATTTTTCTTATTGGATGTTATGTTTTATATAATGTGTCCTCTTCTCTTACTTGGTTTGGATGTACTTGAGCCGAGGGTCCACCGGAAACAGCCTCTCTACCTCCACGAGGTAGTGGTAAGGTCTGCGTACACTTTACCCTCCCCAGACCCCACTTCATGGGATTTCACTGGGTATGTTGTTGTTGTACCCTGCTGCTATCTGTTCCATTTTCATGGTTCATTTCTGTAGTCTTTCAATCTATAAATGTGGAGCTCCAAAATAAGGCATTCTCTTGTACAACTTCATCAAATTCATATTAATTATTCAACGGCAGATTGATGTTCTCGCATTTGCATTCAGGTAAGCATATACAAGAGTACAAGACTATTACCTTAAGTGTCATACATAATTAGAAGATAAGCAGTTGTTTTGTTTTTGTTTAGTTGATTTTTGCAATAAATGGATTACATAAGATTCATTATGTAAAAGTCGTGCTGCTTACGACCAGAGCTCACCAAACTACATTTCAAATCATTTAAGCTATAAGGTAGTAATATAGTGCCAGAATAAGAGAGAGAAAAGCAGGAGGTGAGCAACGACACATATCCACCTAAACTTAGCAAACAAATCCAGAGACATTCTTCTTCTCCAACTTGTAAGGTCAAAAGGTTTCAACTTGTGAAGACATTAATCTACAGAGATATGATTGTAAGCAATAAGAAAGAAGTGCACTTACAAAAGGCTTTAACAGCTGTATGTAAGAACCATTACTCATACATTCTAATTGGCCTGGGTTGCATCATCTTCAGGAACCAGAGTCTCTAGCTCCTTATGCTTCAGATACTGATCCAAAATTGTAAGCCTAGCGGTCTCAAACGCAAAGTACCCTAGAGCTGAAAAACAAGCACTATGAAGTACTCTAGGACCCATTCCCCGCGTAAAACCAACCCAGCCTTCTTCCGTTAATATCTGTCTAACAGTAGCCGAGACACCAGTAACCATTACAGCACCAACCTTATTGGCAGCTTCAGAATGAACTTGAGTCATCAACCTAGTCTTCACCACATCCAAAGGGGTTGTTAGTGAAGCTGATATTGCACCAGCCAATGCCCCACAACAAACACTCTGAAATGGCTCCAAACGTTCCTTCTTCACATTACTCAATACCGCGGCTTTCAAGTACTCAAATGATGAATAACTCAAAACCCCAGCAGGCAAATTCCTCAACAATGTAGCACTGTATCCAGCATACAACCCCAAAATTCCATCTTTCTCCAAGATTCCCATTAACACCTGCCAAGACCTCCCTTTAGCCCCAGACTGCATTCTCTGAGTAATCAACTCCTTCGGCACCATTATAGCAGATGAGACTATATTCCCCATTGCACCAGCTGTTGGTGGGATAAGCACAGATGGGTATTGCGGAAATTTCGACAAGATTGACTTTCCAAACTCACAAGTCCCAAAATACACAGCAGAAGAAGCAGTAGACCCAACAATTACAGCTGAAATACCACTGTAAAACCCAAGAATCCCCTTACTTTGAAAAGTCTTGACAAAAGCATCAATTGCTCCACTGTAAATTTCCGATGCCCCTTTAGTTTGAAGCTTAGTTTTGATTGTGTCAAGTGGGAGAAGACATACATACGTGAATGCACCAGCAATGCCACCACCAGCTGCACCAATAAGTGCTCTTTCAACAACAGAAAGATTCTTGAACAGAACCTGAACTTTTGAGGAGTCCCTAGTAGCAGGTTTTAGAAAATTCGAAGTGGGGTTCTTGATTTGTGCTTCAATTGAAACAGAAGTTGAGCAAAACTTGAAATTGGGACTGAAACGATGGTTTGTTGATTTGGGGTTCTTGTGATGTAGAATTGGGGTAGAAAAAAAGGAAGTGTTGAGATTGTTGAAGAGGGAGTTGAAGTCTGTTTTGAGGTCATTCCGGTCTTGTAGAAGGAGGCTAAGGGAGTTGCCAATTCGAGTTTCCATGGCTATTTTCTCACTGATTTTTGGCTTTGGCGCATAGTTTTGGATGTGATGAAGGAAAATGGAAAGCCAAAACCTGTTGGTAGGTACGAGATGTGAGGTCGTTAGATGCACCTTTGGATGGGCTTGGATACTTTATTTTAGCCCACTTACAAATTACGAAACTTACGAGATCTTTACATTTTGTACCTATTTTGTAAATATTTTGTAAATTAGACAATCAAATGATTCAAACTTATAATTATACCTATTCATGATGTGTAAAATTTACAAATTTGAAGTTGCATACGATTGACGTTTGGTAAAAAAAAAAAAGATTAAACTTTAATTATATGTGCATAAACTTCAAGTATAAATGACTGAATTCAATCCCATAAAGCAAAAGTTTCAAGCAAAAAATGTGAAATTCAATCATCACATATGCGAAATATGTTCCTATTGCAACTAAAGACAATTGATATTTAAGAACAAGAGATTTTTTGATATCACAATTGTATGTTATTAATTCGTCAATATCCTCTGTCCCATATTAGTTGGTCACTATACTAAAAATAGTTGTCTCATATAAGTTCATCACTTTACTAAATCAAGAAAGCATTAATTGATTTTTTTTTCTATATTATCCTTGCAATTAATTCTTTTTAAAAATATTCACACTTATTTATAAAGTTCCAAAGAAGTTCTTAAGAGGTGAATTGGTAAAACTACCATCTTATTTATAATTGGCGGAATGACCTGGGAGACCCATGTACTTGACTCCGTTTTTAAGTTGGACCCTCTTACTTATCAATTTGTCAATTGAACCCCTAAACTCATCATAACGTAATATTTTAAGCCATTTTTCATCTAACTAGTGTGTGAAGTACAATTGCTTACACGTGGACTTCCATGTCATTTTTAATGACATGTAAGAAATTACATGTTAAAAATTAAAAAAATCAATTAAGCCACTTTTGTAATTTCTGAAAATTTTAGATAAGCATTTTTAAAAATAATAATAATATTCCAAATAAGCATGTTCTTCATATTTATTCCAAATTGAACACTAAATTCATGTCAAATAGATGAGATTTTTCCCTATTTGACTTGAAAATTCAAATACAAGTTCACCACCACAAATCCAACTAATCACAATCACAATTTTGAATCAATTTCACAAATTCACAAGGCCCATTTGTTATTTTTCAAGCTTTCTCTAACTTATCAATGGAATTTAAATTTTTCAATATCAACCATTATCCTTTGTGTAAATCCATACTTAGACCTCTTTTTTGAAGCCTAAAAGATAAATAATAATCTCAATACTTTTAGACTAAAAAGCTAAAATCTAAAAGACTTTTAGACTAAGTTGTTAGGGTGGGCGGCTGATTTGTAATGAAAAAGAAGTGTGGGTTGAGAAGAAAGTGGATGAAGGAGAGAATGAAGAGGAGGAGAGTGAGTGTGGTGGATGAAATTCCAAGAAAAAGAAGAGAGAAAGGGGGCTGGGGACGGAGGAGAGAGGGGTGGGGGTGGGGTGGGAGAGGGATGGTTGAGGAAGATGGATTTTTTTTCTTTTCAAATTGATAATTATTATTTTTTTATTATTATTTTTTTAATGTAAAATATCTTATTTACTCGCTGTCAAACGCGTGTTATCACGTAAATTTCCAACTCAACATTATCATGCCACATAAGTTCGGTCAATGGTCAAAGGGTTTAAAATATTGTGTTCTGATGAGTTTAGGGGTTCAGTTGACAAATTGATAATTAGGAGGGTCCAACTTACAAATGAAGCCAAGTACATGAGTCTCCCAGGTCATTCCGCCTTTATAATTTCTTAATATGAGTATAAAAAAAGTAATCAATTAATATGGAACGGAGAAAGCAGTAATTACAAAATTAAAGCAGGGAAAAGAAACAAATTACAGAACAAAAGTTACTAATAAAATATAATAGATTCATATTTAGGTCGATGAAAATCGAACTAATATGGGACGGAGGAAATAGTAATAACAAAATTAAAGCAGGGAAAAGATACAAATTAAATAATAAAAGTTACTACAAAATATCATAGATTCATATTTAGGCCTATAAAAATTGATTCAAATAAAAAAAAATTGTTCCGTTGCCGGGACTTGAACCCGGGTCTCTCGGGTGAGAGCCGAGTATCCTAACCAACTAGACTACAACGGATTGTTGAATATTAATTGATTAGTTTAATAATTAATCATTTGTATAAAAGGAAAAGAAGAGTATCCATGATTTGGATATTCTCCAATCAAAGCATTATCTCTTTCCAAACATAACGTTATCGCATTTAGAAAGAGCATAAAAAGGAGATAAAAACTAAATGGCTTACTTGTTAGCTTCCATCATAAATTGCAACATTCGATTCTTACTACATTCCTCTATTTCCATTCACTTATTTCATTTCTTACTATTCTTGTTTTCCGAAAAACAAGATAATGCAAATTGATGTTGAGATGGGAGTCCTTACGGAGGTACTTACATTATCAGATGAGTCAAATGAAATTTAATTCTATTTAGATATATATCAAGAAAGGAAGGTATGAGAGACACCAAACAACACCTAAGGTGGGTATAAGTTGGGGTGGGGGGGAGGGGGGGTGATTCATGGATGAGGGGAGGCTAGGAAACAAAAAGTGCATGCATGGAGATTCTATTTATCGGAAGTTTGATAGTGTATATTAAAGTGTGAAGCGACCTGACAACCCAAAGTGGTGAAAAGGCTAAAGGTCATATATCATAATATAATATAAAAAGGTCCGTCAGAGAGAGTCTTGCCTTACTCCTAACTCAAAGCGAAGTTGTATGTAATTACATAGATAAAGTTAAGTCAATCTCTCTATTTTCATCTTGAAAGATTTGAAAAAATAGAACATGCATTATGCTTTCTTTGATCACTTTCATTTTTGGCCTGATCAGTTATCGAAATAGTTATTTAGCTTGCTTTCTTGGATCACCTTTTTTTTTTTGCTTTGGCCAAACACCTTTTTCTCATTAATCAAGCGATGCAATAACATATTATAAAAGATGTTAGTAAATTTAATTTATCTAAAAATTGAGTTATTTTAGACTGAATATGTAATCAAACTAATAAAATGGTGTTGATACCCCTACTTCCGAGCATAAATATAGGTGGAAGTCGCATAATTTTTTAGGACTCTGTAAACATATTATAAAGGGAAAAATTCTGAAAAATACTTTAACTTTAATTGAAATTGATGTTACGATACCAAATTTTATAGAAGACATTTTAGCCCCTGCACTATTTAATAGTGTATTTAAAAGGTATATATGTGCGCACGTGGACACATTATTATTTATAATTATGCAATACTTATGATGTCAACGTGGACATATATATATACCTTTAAAATACACTATTAAATAGTGTAGGGGGTAAAAGGTCATTTCCAAAGTTTGGTATCGTTATTGCAATTTCGGTCAAAGTTCGAATATATTTTAGACCCTTCTCCCTGTTATAAAAGATGCAACATAATTAGAGGTACATATGACATAATTTTCAAATTGAGCTATTTTAGACTAAATAGCTCAATTTTTGGATAAATTAAATTTGAATCAATCAAAATAGATAAATTAATAAGCAAATCCATTTGAATTTGAACAAATTTAATATGACATAATTTTCATAGGCTAATTTTATATCTAACTTGCGACTAGTTAGTATCAACAGCATTTTTTACTTGCTGGCTAGTTCTATTGCGTTGAAATAATTAATGATATCGAAATTTATTTTTTCAAGAAGGGATATTAATTGAATGCAGGTTATAGTTTTGAGGTCAGTCTCAGCTCCAGCTCACCTGCCATCTTTGATCCAGTCATCTCACACTTCTTACAGCACATCACTTTATTATTAGGTATGAGATCGTTTGGTTGATAGTTGGATAAGAAATAAATTATTAATGTACTAATTTTTATATAATTTATGGATAATAAACACATCATAATATCATATCATCCGTAAACTAATAAAATGCCTAATACAGCCACCACTGATCAACCATGACAACAATATAAAACCAATAACAATAATATTAATGACGACAATGAAGAAATATCACGAGCTTATGATGTATTTAGCTAACAGTTTGATGTCATTTGTATCATTAGCAGAATTCCTTTGGATTTACAGTATGAAACTTACCTAATTCTATTTCTATAAACAAACAAATGGAGTAATAATTATTAATTAAAGAAAATAAAAACTAGTGTTTGATTGTTTTGGTATGGATGGTTAGTCAACACAAATTAAGAGTGGTATTTATTATATTTTCAGTAGGGCATAATGTGAGTAGTTTTGGTATCATAACTCGCCAAACACGACTTTGAATAATTCTTATCTTTATTATTCACCACGCGCAATGCTTTGACTAATTCCCCACACATCTGCCGTACCCCCGCGGAGCAATCACTCTGCATTACCAGTAACACTTTTGTTAGCCCATTTGCCTTTCCCACCACCTCACGCGCCGCCGTATCACGAAACAAGCAGCACACGCTCCACAGTACTGTCACCCCGTGCTCTGTCGCTGCTTTCGAGCTCTTCATCAGCCTTGTAACTATCACCGACAAGCACTCTTCGCCTTTACCTATCGCCGACCTGCCTTCCGTACACGTCGCTACTGTTTCCAACAGCTTCAATGACTTCTCCACCACCGCCCGAGCGGTTTCCGAACCGCTAAGGATTTTTCCGATGGTTTGTACAATTCCGAACCGGACTAGCTCTTTTTTCGCCGGTCTGGTGGTTGAGACCGCGATTAGAGTTGATAAACCGGCTTCGATCGCGAACCGGTTCGTCTCCGTGCTAGTGAATACGTGCAATTCGTAGAGTAAACCTTGCTCCTCGACCAGTTTTCGCTGCGAATCGGCGTCTAATGCGATGAATTCTAGAATCCGAGCGCTTTGAATCCTCGAACTCAACTTTCCTTTTCGAAGAATCAAAAGAAACTTCGGTAGAAATTTCCTATCGCTCTTCAAAATCTCTTTGTTCAACTGCTCCTTCACTTCATTTTCCGATACAACCAAATCCAAAACCGCAACAACCGCTTCACAAAC